TTAAATCTCTTTGTTTACTGTGTTCAGAAACCGAAATGTAAAAATATATTTATTTTTTCGGTTTTATGGAGGAATACTTGAGGAAGAATCAGTTGGTTGCCTGGCAACCGTGATGACAGGCCTCCAGGAAGTTAAGCTTCACCTTCCCCACTGCTTCCAGTCTCTATGCTAAGCTAGGCTAATTGCTGCTGGCTACTGGCCTTCTTACAGAGGGTTGGATGAGACGTTTGATACTGTAGCTGTTGTAAATATGAAGCTACAGTCAGAAGATGTTAGCTTAGCTTAGCATTAAGACTGTAAACAGGGGGTAACAGTTAGCCTTGCTCTGTCTGAAGGTAACAACAACTACCAGCGACTCCAAAGTTCACAACTTAACACATTAAATCTCTTTGTTTACTGTGTTCAAAAACCAAAAAACTAATTTTGGGGGTTTTATGTAGGAATATGTGCAGCTATTGTAAATATGAAGCTACAGTCAATTAGATTAGCTTAGCATAAAGACGGAACAGCTAGCCTGTAAAACTAAATAATTAACTAGTAGTACCTACGTTTGTTTGTTTAATCTTTAAAAGCACACACAACAGTTGCTATATAGGTTACTTTTTAATTTTTAACCATTTGAGTCTTCTTCCAATCTTTGTGCTAAGCTAAACTATCTCCTAGCCTTTAGCTTCATATTCGACAGACAGACATTGAGAGTGGTGTCGATCTTCTCGTAAGCCCAAAATGTCGAACTTTTAAATTCAATCAGTCGTACGTTTCTTTCTCACATCATACATCAAATATTTGTGCTTTATGTACAGATATTTACATGATTGCTGAGCTAACACGTTACAATTTGCATCTATCTACAACTCAGGCAACAGTACAAATATTTACAAACACACTGAAACCTCAATAACAGCGACTGTAGGGCCGTTCAGGAAAACTGCCACCGACATCAAACTCAACAAACCTTTTTTCATGGCAGACATTTTGACATTGTGATTGTGAACAGTTTCTAATTAGCACTAAACACAAAGTACAACTGAGGCTGATGAGAATGTCATTAGTTTGCAGGTATTTGGGATTATTAAAGTATTTCTGATTCTGATTCTGATTTGGTCTCTAGCTTTAGACAAAAAGTAACAGATATTTAAACTGATAATGGTGCTAAAGGGAAATTAAGGGATTATTGTTACAGTAGTACTTTTTACTTCACTACATTTATCTGCCAGCTGTAGTTTCTGGTTACTGTCCATACTAAGAATTTAAAAAATGTTATTGTTTCTTTGCTAAATCTTCATGTAAAATCCGTCCAATAGTTGAGCTATTACACTCGAAACCTCAAACGTCAACCTCATGGTGGGCACAAGCAGAAATAATGAATAAATGAAACTCAGTAGGATTTATCCTCTGGGTCTTATGGATGTCTGTGCTAAATGTCATGGCAGTCCATCCAATAGTTGTTGAGATATTTCAGTCTGGACCACAGTGGTGAACCGACCTACGCAGCCAGTCCCGGAGCTACGCTAACAGGAAGGCACAGGTGAAACCAATCACTTTGATGATGCCTTCCCAGTATTGTAGTAGTGTCCCAGTATTACAGTGAGCCAGCATGCATAATAGCAGGGCTCTTGAACTGACACACCTGAATGAAATGCAGTCGCCATTAAAGTTATTAGTTACACCCAAAGTCAAAACATCTGCCAGGAAAAAGGTTTGTTATATGTGAGGAATTAGTTTTTTATCCCAAAAAAGTGGGTAAATTTGGTCCAAACTGAGTTCCACTACATCATGATGTAGACAATATAAATACATAATACTGTAATATTTAACGGGGAACCATAGTGTTCAGTATTAATAAGTATAAATAAGATATTATGAAGTAAATTTTCATATAAATGCAAAAACATGTTATATAAACATGAAATTGTGATTCTTTCTTTTAGTTTGTTTCAGGTAATTATTATTATTTTTCAAATCCAGCAGTTTTTATTTATTCTATTTGAAATATTTTTCCAAAGTCTGTTTTTTTAGTTTTACATCTTGTAAATAAGAGTTTGCTCTTTTATCTATCAATACATTTAGTCAGATCAAATAAAAATGATCAATCTGTTCCTCATAACTGTTTACTTGTGTGATGAAAAGGGATATAGTGATGGAAAAAATCATAAAAACAGACTTTTGAGTGCTGGAATTAATTGAAAATGACCTGAAATAAACTGAAACTGTTTTTATGTTTTATTCATGACTGTTTATTCCATGATGTCTTATCTATCTAACTAATATTGAACCCTTTGACTTTCTATAATATTCACATTTGGACGAGCTCTCTTCGTCTTACAGTCGTCTGTTGTCCATCTTTACCCTGTTTCCTGGTCTTGTTGCGTTTGGGTCGGACCATCCTGAGACACAGTTTGTGAAGCCTGACAGCTCTGTCTTTTCTCTTCGCTCTCCTGCTGTTTGGCCTCCTGACCTTCAGTTGCATTGCCTGTAGATGGCGCTGCTCCTCTACTTCTGTGCTGCTCCTCTGGTCCAGCTGAGGAAGCTCCGCTTTCACCAGAACTGCTGTACAGCTGTTCAGCAGAGAAGAAGCAAAGGTGGTTTTGTGATGTTATAATTAACCATTTACTGTATTCAAATACAATTTGAATGCATTTGTACTTAAATTAACAACATTTGCATAACTATAGATTAAGTTTTTAATGAGGTAGAAGGAGTAGTAGTGCTTATTGGTCCGATTCCCTTTCTCTGTGTCAAAAAAGGTCGGCCTACTATGTTTTATTTCTTCCTCTCTGACATGACAATGACTATGAGTTTGACATTGATTTGCAATGTGCAGAAAAACATGCTGGAACCAGTTCTCAATTACCATCCCCTGTCTGGAGGAGACGTTTAAGTCAAGAATCTGAGTACTTCTTTTTATATTTGGGCTTTTACCAGGGCACCCCAAGGATACCCCTGAGTACTTCTCTACAGCATGATCATATTATATTTGAATTATCTGGCATTATGAGACAAGCGTCATCGTGTGTATCTTGTACCCTGCCCTCCGTTAAATACCGTCACATTCTGTAATCTACAGCATTTCATTAAGGAATAAAACTTCCATCTAAAGCAACATGTTACTGTCTAAGAGAACCATGTCTGTTAGTTTATAATGTGCATGTAATAATGGAATTATACACAACTTTTCTTTGTTTTGATATCAACCATTGGTCGCCCTGCTCTCTAAATATCTGCATCATATCGGACTGCTAATTCTATTACACAAAAAGCAGATAAATTCTAAAATGCTTTAGGCTGTGTGTGTGTGTGTGTGTGTTTGTGTGTGTAAACTTACATTTTGCCTGCTGTGCAGTCCTGTGCCAGGAAGCAGGATTGAGACACATGTCCGAGCAGAAGAGCCTGTACTTCAGTCAGTTGTCTCTGTGTAGCCAAAGTCTGGAATAACCTAGAAGGACAGACAAACACGTCAGAGATCAACAGACATGCCAGGAGAAACAAAAGAATAAAACAAATAAAGGAGATTAAAAGACCAGCGAAGCAAAAAAGCAGACAGAGAGACCGTGTGTGCAAACATTAGATTATGATAACGTCCAAGGCCGTAACTTTATTTCTGTGCAGAGTCAGAGAACCGTTAGGCCTTATGTAACGGTGTGACTGAATGTATGTCTACACTGCTTGTGGCCTACTTTTGTGTTATGAAACATCCCACCACATTTGCCTCGTCTAACTGGCTACACTCAGAAATGAAGGTGAGTGCACTGTTATCACAATGTCTGTATATGCTCTGCAAATAGCACTGTCAATATTTACTGTGTGGGGTTAAGTGAATTAGTGTAATGTAGACACAGTGTGAGACGTCCCCACATCATTACTTATCCTGCTCAGATGCACCAGCCAATAAAATGGCAAAAAAATTATCAAAATTCAAACAAAAAAGGCTTCTTCTCTGTATATAATTGGTGTTTATTGGCTTTGTTAATTTACCTGGTGGTACAGTTGCAGTGGTACAGCGTCGTGGCCTCTGGGTTGTGGAGGCCGTATCTCCTCTGCTGGGGAAGGATCTTGTTCCTGCACGCGTCAAGATCTTTGTAGACAGCACATGACAGCTGCTCGTCTGGGGAAGGGAAGCATCAGTGTAAGTGTGCAGGTACATTGCAAATGGTAAATGAGTCTTATTTTTTGTCTAAATAGAAAAATAATCTTGTCAAGCATGTTTTGCATTAGAAAACTAACCTGGTTTTAAGAAAAGACATCTAACTTTGTCTTAATGAAATATTACATCTAATACTGGGCTATAATAATAGTATATATAGTAATATTGATGATTTGCATAAAATCCCAGCAGAGGAATAAGATTATTTTCCTTATTTTAAGAGTAACACCACTGCAACACCGCATCCATGGCTAGCTGTTTTCCCTCTGTCTCCAGTCTTTATGCTAAGCTAAGCTAACAGCTGCAGCTTCAAAGTGAACAGGCAGACATGGAGAAGCGGTATTTGATCTTTTCATTCTAACTCTCGCCAAGAAAGCAAATATTTCCCAAAATGTCAAAACGAATAATTTGAAATAGATTCCGACCTCCATTGGTGACCTTTTACAGGTGTAAAGAGGACTTTAAAATGGCTCTGTATGCGACAGGGTCCATCCACCACACAGGTACGAGTCCGAGGACAGCATGAACAGCACCAGCTTCATCCATAAACACAACCGTACCCACAGAAGGTACTGGAGAGCAAGCACATTCACAGCCACAGCCTCTTCTCCATCCACTGGCTGGCAGCATTCCACAGTCCCTACACCGTCATCTCCTCCCATCACCCCTGTTACCAGTGTTACCACCTCCTCAGGTCTCCAGCACATCAGAAGGACCTCCAGCACCTTAAGAGCGGAGACCATCTAGAGGAACACTTTAACCCACCAAAAACCCAAACTCTTTGCCTCAGGCTGGATGCTGATATCACAAGGTATTAGACAATGTGCCAGTTTATGTTTCTACACATACACTGCAAAAACAGCACAGCAAAATATTCTTTAAATATTATAATATTTATTGTATTGAGCAAAAAAATCTGCCAGTGAGCTTTGTGCTTGGGCTAGAATTCCTAAAACTAGTATAAAAATCTACCTACTGACACACTGTAAAGGAAACACACTGTAGTTGTGCTTTTTTTTTTTTTTTTTTTTTACAACACAATGAGGAACTCAATTATTTAAGCTTTCCTTAAAATAAGTATTTTGGTCACTCTTATTGAAGCTGAATTTAAGAATTTGTTAATTTGTAAAATTCTTACAATAGGACACATTTAATTCTTAAATTAATCCACCAGAAACAATTCTTATTTTGTAGCTTTTTTTATATAATACAATTAAAAACTAAACAGCTGCTTCATATTTCCAACACTTGGACGAGGCGCTTTTTTTCTTAATCTGAGAAGGTTTTGTTGG